TCGATGAGACCTGTTGTTAGGCAAAATTTCAGTTCGAAATTCCTTCATTCAGTTTTTCTATAAATTCCTTGCCCAAGGTCGAAAATTCACTAAAACGGTCATAACTTTGAAAGAAAGGCCTAATGGCACGAACTCTTTTAGGCTTTTTCTAGTCTTATTGGGTCCTACTTATGAGCAAAATATGAACCCAAATGGTGCGTATCACTTGGGAATGTTCCTTCGTAAGAAACACTCATATGATTGTTCCTCAAAGTTATAATTTGAACAGTACACGTTTTTTTATGTTAACTATATGACGACTGCGGCAAATCAATGCAATACTACCAATTATTCTTGATGCTGTACAAAAACCAACAACTGTACTATTTAGAATATTCATAAACGTATTTCATCAATTCAAATTTCAACGTACCGAGTATTGGGAAAGTAAACAATAAGAAATAACTGTACATTAACTTTTTTTCTGAGAGTAGTCGATGTATAACTAATGTCTAGATTCTTCACTGATTGATATATACAGAGAGTGCCAGATATTGATGAAAAACAAACTCTGGTCAGGATCCGACTGACTTCGGATTTACCAAATGTGGATTCACAGTTCCTTAGCAGTTTGTGCTTGGTTGCTTTGAGAGATGAAGCTGCAAAAAATCTCGACTTAAAACTGACTAAATTTTTCTTCCAAAAAATCTCATTATGAGTTCCACAAAAGAAAACTCTTAAGTTGACATACTTGTTCAATTAATGTAAGAATTTTGTCATCAGATTCGAGTATAGATCGTTCAAAAAAAAGACGAAATGTATATTCAAGTACAGATAATTCTTCTGATGTGCATGTATTTAATTTCGACTAGAATGATTGAAAAGAAATATTTTTTCACAAGGAAATTAATCAAATAAAATTGCTTTTCTTTTTTTTACTTGGCTAGCTTCAATAATTTTCATAACAGTTTGAATAGCAGCTAAACGAAATGGTAATGTATGATGACGACAAAATGGAAAAATTTTTGGTAGAACTTGAGCGAAAGATAATTTAAATCTTAAAACAAAAAAAAAGTATTAATCGATAATAAAAAAAAGCAAAAATTTGGTATTTTTATGTACTTTTCAGCTGAATTTGATGCAAGTAATTTAGCAAGAAGATTCATAATTGAACTAGCTGCTGAATTAAGATCATCCATTGAATTAAGTAATGAGATAAGTTCACTGATTAAACCAGGTGCACAATCGAGAACAACCTTAAATTAAAAGAAAAACAAGTAAATCGTTGAAGTTTCATAGTTATTATTAACATCATACAGATTCGTATTGAGTAACGAACGGTAATAATGTTGCTGCAGCAGTTGCAACAACATCGTCGGATTCGTCTTGCAAACATTGTCGTATTGCTTGAACACATGGTATTCGTATATCATTGGGTATTTCCTGAAATTTAATAATTTTATTCTTGTATTATAAATAAAAAAAAAAAAAAATTTGTTTTGTTTCTTTTTACTTTGAGTATATTGAATGTATATTTGAGCGTAAGTAATGCTCCATGACGAATTTCCCAAGTACCATTGTGTTTGAGTAAATTTAAAAGAATTGAAATTAAAGTTGAACATTGCGAGTGATCATGTAAACAATTACAAATAATACTTAAAGTTTGTGCGCATGTTTCACGAATTGGTGCAACGACCTAGATCAATAGAAAGAACGAAAAGAGAAAAACATTTAAAGAATATTCACAATTTAAGTTATCATCGACAATTTTTTTTAATGTTAAAGCTTATTAGTATAATACATCATATGTTAAGAGAAAAAAAATCAATTGAATAGAATCTCTTGAAAAATAGTAATTATCGATAATATTTAATTAATAATCTTGACAATAAAAAAAACAATATATTTTTCAAAATCATTTCATTATGACTCATTTCAAATCAGAAACTAGAAATAAAAACTTGTAAATTTCTCAATAAACTGCAGAAGATAAAAACCATCTTAGTTTTTGTTTCAGGATCATTTGACTTTTGATAGAAAAATTCCTTCACTTTATATTGTTGGACTTGTATGAAAATACAATTATGCTTGAATTTGATTTCTGAAATGAAATCATAAGATTCGATTCTTCATTTTGTTAATTTTTAAACTGATGATTACATTCCATTTTTTGATATGTTGACTCATTCACTTTCGCATAGATTGACATACGCAATTTTGTTTTTATGTATAACAAAAATTATACTGATTCCATAATAAGAGATTTTCTAACTTAAAATGAACGTTAATAAGATATATTCAATGAAAAAGATACTTTAATATTATATGAATGACAATATAATTCATTTTGCAATTGAAGGCATTCAACTGATCCAATATTTTCTTTGATCAAGAATATTTCGTGAAAAGAAATAGATTTGGCTTTTATTTATCAACTGTGATGATAGTTTAGTAGCTTCCAGGATTTAGTTTTTTCAAATTTTTTTTTATGAGTTCCGCTATATATATTATCATGAAACGAAGGGAATTGTGATGAAAGTAGGTACCAGGTTGAGGATAAGAGCGAGGATGACATGTAGGGAGAGAGACCAGATGAGAATCAAGGCTGACATTTCATAATTATGTCTTTCTTTTCATACAACTCTAATGCATTATATACTATAAATAGATTAATCTAGATAAATCGAATAAATCCCTGTAGCTTCGTTAAAATATGTGAGTGAAAAAAAAAAAGCAATCTGCATTTTCCTTTATTTTGACAATAGCGGAAATTCTTTCTTTTAGTGACGAGTTCTAAACCTCAGGGATCAACTGTTAAACAGGGCTTACTCTTTGAAGCAAAACTCATTTCACTAAATTATAATGAAATTCCAAAAGTTAACAATGATACTATCGATTTGATTATAGAATTCATAATTTTCGAATAATTCATGTTCCTCCTTAAAGAATATAGAAAAAAAAATAAGTAGAGGACATCAAGCATGTTCGATGTACATATTAGTAGACCAAGGAAAAAAAATAACTCTTTTTCAGCTTGAAATATGCTTACATCAGAAGGTTAGATATCTAATATATACAAATATCACATATATATATATAAACACATCTTTCTTTTTGCCTTTTTTTTTGTTCTTGATCATTTTCTCTGTAATATAAATAATATATTATCGTTCCAAGATAGATAATATATGGAAACCATACGATAGAAAACATATGTAAACAAAGATGAAGGTGAAAGTTGTAGATTTATAACGTTGTCGACGTCGCAATCATTTGTTAGTATCATCTATCAACAAATGGCTTCGACTCGTGTTATTATCGTCATCAGTGTCTGTCTTGGTTTTTCAATGATCAATAATTGTCTATCGATGGGTGAGATTCTTAAAAACTTATTTTCAAGTCAGCATAATCATTCAGGCACAGCTTGATCATCATCTCTAGTCATTCCATCAACGACAACAATCATAGATGACGATATTACAACAACAACAGCAACAATAACAACAACTTTTCCTACAACAATAATAAATGATAGAAAAATTAATCAAACAGCAACACCAACACATATTTTACGTGTACGTATACGCGTACATAATTCATTAATTGAAACATTACTTAATCAAAAACAATTAGATTTAATTGAAATTCAATTACAACAACGACATATACCATATCGTCAAATACAAGACAATAAAGATGGTTTAACAATTATTATTGGACCATTTCATAAATCAACAAATTTTACAGCAACTATGATGATATTTAATCAATCCCGTTTTCATAGAAATTTTACTAAAATGATACCAATTAAACCATCAATAATTATTGAAAAAAATGAAACAATTACAACAATTCAATTAGATGAAAAAAAAATTCAACCAGAACATTTTCCAATAACAGTTGAAGCACATGCATATAATCTTGCTCATGATCAAGGTACATTTTCTTATCTTATTTCATTTTTTTAGTTATTTATTTGTATGTTTATTTATTTTAGAATCATATGAATTTCGTAATTGTCTCGAAGCATGTGAAATTCATGAAGGCAATGGATTAAAACCTAATCATAATTGTATTCGAAAAAATTGTCTTAAGGAAATTACAGGCATTTGAAATAAATAAAAGAAATAAGATATTTTCTTTTTTAACATTTAAATATATATTTATATAACTTACTTCATCAGAAACATAATCAGCAAAACGATCAAGAATAATTAATGTTAATAAACGAACACTTAAATCTTCAAGCCATTGAAAATAAAATTCATTCTATATTTTAATAAATATTAATTGATAAAATGAAAAAAATAAATAAATTATTTTCACAAACCGAAATTGATAATAATTGTTGTCCTTTGAGAAAATCTCGTAGAATAGTAACTGATCCATGTCGATATTCCCATGACGGTTGAAAGATTTGTTCAAGTAACCAATTATAAAAATTATTTAAAGGCCAAGATAATCGATTCTAAAAGATTAAAAACAAATATAGATTGATTGATTAATTATTTATTCGTAAAGAACTTTAAAATACAAAACATTATCGTTGTAATTATTCAAATCTATTATTTTACTTAAGTTAAAGATTACTGTTATTAATTTTTTTAAGAGTCTCCGTAATGCATTTATGGATTCTATGAGATAACATTGGTTTATGTGAATCTTAGGAGAAACCTATCACAACTGACATCCACCGCTGAAGCTCATATCCAATTTACAAGTAGGTCTCAGGTAGGCTACCGAAAACATAAAGGAGTTCGTTCCCATGGGAGTATTTAACATCAAGTTACGGTAGATTTACTGAATTTTTGAGTCACTTCTAGGTGCTTACCGAAAAACCAATTAACGAAGTTTCGATCTAATATTTTGTTGATGCATTCTCTCGCAAGTGAATGGAGGGCAACGTAGAAGATATATTTTTGTTTTAAATGTTTGATCTTCTAATAAAAAATTTGCTGTGCTTTTTTCAATATCTCGAGTATATAACTACACAAAACAAGAGACAAACAATACGAAGAGAAAAAAGCGATCATTTCCAAATTAAATACTTTGATTTTATTGCAAGTGCGTTATGATCATTTCTCGTGACTAGAGATGTGTGACACCAAGTTTTCTTTTATTCCGGTTCCGGTCTAGAGAAAACTGTTCCCCACTTTATTTCTATCACGTTTAGATCTCTTCAATACTCTTCTATTTATTTAGTCGACGACTTGGACTTTTTTTCGGTCGTCTCTTTTGAATTATGTTCTGATTGATATCATTTATAAGGTAACTTGCTTAAAACTATAGAATATTTGATTATAATTTTTAGTTCCAATTAGGAAAACTTTTTTTCTCGTAGTTAGTTCTGTTCTTCGTATCAGCAAGTTCTCGTTCCCGTAACCCCGGTGGTTGGAATCAAGTCGGATATTAGTCTAGCATATCTCGTCGGGAAAAAAGAATTAGAAATAGAATTCTAACGGATTACAGGAATTTGAAACTTTTTTCTCTTTTTCTTATTATTCTCACAACGTAATCGGCAGATTATCGGATGTGCGATTCAAGACAAGTAGCCGTTAGTGATTTGTCTAAAGTCATTTATGGCTGGTGCCACTCAGATTGACAGGCAGTACCTTGTGGATATGTCGAACAATGCAACCACTCGGTCATGATGATTTCATATTTAAATTAACAATGGGTTATTTTGTATACTTTATGTCACAATTAAAAACTTCAAAGTATTTCTATAAAAAGTAGAGATTAGCAGTGTTTTATCCAAATTTTCTCTTTTGGAGAGATGAATTCAAACTCAGAGAGGGCGAACACGTGTTTTTGGAAGCATAAATATATAGTATGTATTATATATTATGCAGTACAATAACCACAAACTTCAGAAGGACAAATTCGATGTTTGAAAGTGCGCCGTCCTCTTGTTGGATAAAGCAATGGAGTTTAGAATCATAAAACCTGCTTTTTTCCCAAACAATAAATTGTATTGAATGATTTATTCTTGGAAACGACTTATGAGAACATTCAGGTGATTCTTTAATAAATTGGCTAATATTCGATAATATAATAATTAGCAAAAGAAACTTTTTTTTTTATCTCACCTCTTCATTTTCGTCATTAGAACTCGATACTTTTAATCGTTTTGAAGATGTTGGTTCTGATGATTCATTAATTGAATATTGTTCACCAAATAGAAATCGTTGTAAATCACCAGATGAAATCTTCATTCAAATACATAAAAAAACAAATATTAGAAAAAGAACTAACAACAACAGTCATATAACTTTAACATACGCATTTAACATTTGAATTATTGCTATTAAATGATTCAATTTTAAAATCATTTTCTTCTACTGGCATATCTGTACCAGTTAAACGTTCTTGTAAACCAAAATTAAATTCTTTACGTAGAAATTTTTTTTGTACGGATACATTTCCATCTAAGATATTAAAATCAATCAAATTAAAATAATAAAAACATTCAAATAATCAACGAACCATAATCGCCTATTTCTTCAATTTTACGTGCACCAAGATAAAATATTGAACTGTTCGCAATAACATGATTAAAATTAAATGCATTTAATTTTAAACCATATCGTGAATTTTCATTGAATAAAACTATAAGAAATATCTTTCTTTTCTTTCTTTTAAACTCAAAAAGAAAATTTTCTACCAAAAAATTCATTGGATATATTTTTACTAATAAGTTCAACAGCTAGACCACATGCAATACGAACATCCCATGATGAATGTATAACATATTTTTTAAGCTTAAATGAAAATGATATTGATTAATAAAAATAATTCTTTTATCGTTTTTGTTATTTTATTTACTTTATTAAGAATAGGTTCGACTTCTTTTGGATTTGTGCTAACCACTTGACCAATTTGTGTAGCAGCTGATCTTTTTACTGCTAATGAATCTCCAGTACCCAATAATGTCAATAGACGATCGAGTCTAATCAAATAAATATAAATAAAAAAATTATCTTTAATATTTAGAAATTAAAAAAAAATCTATTATCACACCTGGAAGTCATTCTTGTTTCTGAAAGAAAAATAATTAGAAATCTAGAAGAAAATTTGCAAAATCGACGTAAAGCACCAACAATTCGGTGGCTGTTTGTAAATCAAATATTGAAGAAGCATTTGTATTATTTGATTGTGTTTTTTCTTGGGCTTTTATAGTGAGAGCACATTCGCTTGCCCAGTGCAGCTTTTGTCTCGAACAACGCTGGTGAATCATCTTCTATAAATAATAATGATTATTGGCTAACATTATTTCCAATTATAACAGATGACGCTCTACACAAGAAATATTTTATGTTAATAGAATAGCTTCATTTAAAAGTTCGAAAATAAGATTAATATCTTTATATATAGTTTCATTCAACATTGTAAATATATTCTGATGATTGATTATTTCACTTCTATCTAATATTTATTTTACTGAAATAAATCGAATTCATTGAATGCGATATTTACGTAAGGTAATCAGGTGTTTCGAGTGGGAGAGGTTGAGAGAGAGAGCTTCCATTCTAAATCTGAAAAATTTTCGTTTTTGCTAAGCTTGTTATTGTTCCTTTATGTTCACAACTTCGTCACAAAGAAAACACGCAACTCTCTCAACAATCTTGGCTGACTCGGAACACTCTCGAGGACACTTTCAATGAATGTGTTGAAATATTTCTTTAATTTATTGATCACATTTATTAACTTATAAAATAAATTTGATATTCATATTCTAACAATGGATGAAGATGTTCAAACATTCATATTACTTACAAAAATAACAAATGAAACCTTCAATAATACGTATTAAGCAGAATTCTTTGACGATGTATTTGTATTTGTCGGATGAAATCTGATTATTTTACCGATGTAATAGTTAACCTGTTCAATGTTCATTTTTTTAAAATGAATATTTATTAGATAAAGATAAGATACAGGCAAAATTAAAGAGTTTTTACAAAATTTTATAATAAAAAAAACGTAATGGAATATAGAATCTTGTAGGTTTCTTTTTTTTGTACATAGTCCGTTAAGTGTTGTTTTTATAGTAAAGGATGTAGTATATATTCAGTTTTTGGGTGCAGTAATTTGTTCAAAAGCGTGCAAATAAGTCTTAATGCTCACCTGTAACTGCAAGAGAAGTTCAATGTTTTTCAAGTTCCTTTTGATTTTCATAGTGTTGTCTGTGCTTATCTTAATCTGTAAAATGAATCTGATTTAATTACATTTTGTACTGATTTAGCTTAAAAGAGATCAAAATTAATTAAACGGGATTCATATCATAGATCAGGATAAGCAGACAAAACTATTGAAATAAAATCGAACTCGAAGACTATCGAATATCTCACACAGTCACGGACGACTAGTAAAATATATTTGAACGCTTTGGAACAAATTATTGCACTCAAAGACTGATTATATGCTACATTTTTTATTAATATTATCTAGGATATGTGATATAAATATGAGGTCTAATTAACCATGTACAAAGAAGAAATCGAAAAAATTCTGTGTTCTCTTGCTTTTGGGTCATTCCGTATTATGTTTAACTTGAAGTAACATCTAGTTAAATCTAATGAAGAAACATCCTTAAGTGATACATCGCTTTCGAGCTAGGACTATATTCAATCGATAGGGTCTAGTAAGTAGATAAATATTCATAGAATGGTTCGAGCTGTTGCAACTTTGTAGCTGAAAACTGTAATGTTTAGTAGATTTTTCCTGTAGAGTTCCAGTTTTCAAGCGCAATCATACTTTTGAATTTCGATCTGAAACTTTGCTCATATAAAAGCACCGATTAGACTAGCTTGTGGAAAACATTTCAAAACTTTTTTTAATCATAATCATGGCTTAGTGCCTGTATTTTATCAAATTCATATCTTGAAGAGACTTAATAAAAAAATTCTGAAACTTCTTCTACATGCTACTCTAGTCAGTGTCTTTATGTGGGCTAAGTTTCAGGTCAAAATTCAAAAGTATAACTTCGCTTGAAAGTAGGGCCCTAGAGAAAAAATTCACTGAAAATTCAATATCTCAACAGCAAAGACCCAGCTGCTCAACTTTCTCTAGGGTATTTACTTACTCACTAGACTCTATGGATTAAATATAGGTCCAGTTTAGAAGCAGTTTATCATTTGGGAATCTTCCCTTGTAAGAAGATGCTGAGTTTGCATTTGCTTTCAATTGAAATCACCTTTTGCTCTAGTATGATTCGATCCAACAGCAACAAAAACAAAGAATCTTTAAACTTGTGCTTTTTTAGTAGTATTTTTTTTTGTTTTTGAATTCAACGTAGTCCATAGATGATATATAAAGTATAAATATATGATATTGTTGAGTTATGTTGCAACCATAAAAAATACTCAGGAAGTTTGTAGCTTATATATTTCTTTTGCTAGAATAGTATCTTCTCTTGAAATTTAATAGTCGAAAAATTTTAAATGTTCATTTGTTTGTTGATAAAAAATATGTTCGAAAGCCATTTTTTCAATTTTGACGAGAAAAGTCATTAGCGCATTTATTATTAAATAAATAAGTGAAAATAAATACTCTGTCTGGATAGAAAAAAAACAAGTACGTACTATTTTTTCTTAATATAAATGAAAATTATTTTGTAGTTTTATGCCTAATGAAAAACGAATTCTGCATAAGCTAAATGTTTCCAAGGACATTTATAAATATATTATTTCATTTTTCCCTCTAACATGCAACGAAAAGAAACAATAAACTTGTCATATGACTTCCTTAAAAATGAGCTTTTAGTTAATTAATCTTCATTAGTAGAATTATGTTTTTTTATGACTTGGAAATGCAAAAAACAATATTGTTAATTAGTTTTTTTTCTGTTGTGTGTAGAAGTTTCATTGTATGATTTTTCTTATATTCGAGTTTTCTTCACTGATATGAAGATAGTCGAAAACTGAATGTAAGTTAAAATGACGACATTTTCTGATACATTTATTGCTATAAAAAAAAGTAGGTCATATTATGTGTGACGAACCTTATACATTATTATTTTGGATGTAAAGAAAGTTTTTTTTGAACTTAAACGAATTAAGAATCTATAGTTCAATCTAAGGAGTAAATAGAGGATGATTAATTGATCTCACAAGAGAACGCTTTCAACTGATCAATCACTTTTAAATTCGGGCTTAGTCCATAGAGTAGACTACGATGAGATATTAAAAGCCTCAAATGAAATAAGTTTCCTTAGGCTTTCCCTTCAGTTATAGGCATTTTACTAGAACTTTAGTCTCTGGCAATGTATATACCAACAAATCGAACGAGGGCATTTCGATATGAGATTCCACCTACAGACACACCTATTTGTCAGCAGAATGTTCTGAAATTAAAAATCAAAATAATGTTTCTTTCCTGAGATATTAAAGCCTCAAAAGTCGCTGTTATTTATTGCACGAAAGATACTAAAATTTTTTTTTGTTGGGCTATAATATATCGGGAAAGAAACATTCTTTTAAACTGAAGTTTTCAGGGTATTCTACTGACAAGTAGATCTGCATGTGGGCAAAGTCTCAGGTCGAAATACCTTCACTCAACTCGTTAGTATTTACCATATCAGAGGATAAGATTCTAGTAAAATGCCTATAACTCTGAAGGAAATGCCTATAGGAACTTATTATATTAGAAGTTTTTTATATCTCAATGGAGGTTACCTTATAAAGTGAGTTAAAATTTAAAAGCGATTGATTAGTTGAAGACGTTTCCTCGTCAATTTTATTTTGAAACTGTCTATGAACTATTCAAAACGACATAAGATTTTATTCTTTAGCTATAATGATAGATTGCTTTTTACTCTGATCGATTGCAAAGATGAGATGGGTTCCGAAAAAAAAAAAAACATGAACCAATTCCATCTTTGATCGATTGTGGTCAAATAGATCTGCTTTTGATATCTATGCAACACCATTAATGAATCATAACATATATAAGTTGCTTAAGAATTTTTCTATTGAGTTGTTGTTCTCATTCACGAAAAAAAAAATAGTCATGTGACAATGAGAAATTCATATTCACATACGATATGACAAAGTAGATGTTTCTATTTGACAACAGTTTGATCTTCACTTTTTTTAGCATGTTTACTATATCTTGGATCAAAACGAGAAAATATTAATGACAACAGGTGTAAATATGATTTCATGTCGTTTAATTATAACTTCTTTTGCCTGTTATCATAGATGATTTTCATAAAGAAAGTTTTTTAAACAGCAGAAATAAGTCAATCACACAGCACTCTCATGATTCTATTCTACTGTCGAAAAGGAAATTTTAATGCTCTATTAGAAATAAATTATTTATATGTCATGTAAAATTAATCGTTTGTAAGCAATCGAAAGAATACTAAAGGTCTATGCAATAGATCATTGATGTATTGGAACGTAATTGAGAGAAAAAAAAAGATGATCATACATAAGTGCTTGATTATCACAAAGAAAAAAAAAAGAATAAGGAAATTTATGCTCTTGTTGAAAGTCATAGATCTTTTTTTGATTAAGTGCACGTCCAAATAGAAGGTCAAAACGGTCAAAAAAAAAAAACAAATCTTTTTTTAATTTCACAAATGAGTAATGAAAGCATTATGAATTTTTATATTAATCGTTTTTGATGAAGTCTCTGGAAAGTAATATATCCTACAAATATGTATTTGAGTTTTCTATCAATAACATCATAAATCGTAAGAACTTGTCTGCTCTAAATTGCACATTGACCTTAAATACTATAGAAAAAATATGTCACTACTCTTCAATAATTGATATCCTAGAAAAGTGAAAAATTAATGTCTAAATCCATAGATATAAAGGTATTCATTTGATTGAAAAGAAAAAAGCAATTATTTACTTTTGATTTTTTTCTCTTACTTTTTTATATCAACCTAACCTTTACTTCCAAAATTTAATGATTCATTTCAATAAAAAAAAATTTGGCTAAAGGTCTTTTCTCGTCTCAATAAAGCTACTAGTGCATTTAATTAAAAAAATTTTGCTTTACAAGCAAATTTAATAAGAAAAAATGAAGATCTTATATAATAAAAAAATTTCAAATCAGTTGTTAAATACTGACTAATCAAAAGGAAACAAGTTCATACTTATAGAAATTGTAAAAACTTTTTTCTCATTATGTCTCACATAGAAGAGCTAGTATAAAATCATTCAAACTAATCTGTCTACTTTTCTTTTCTTTTTCGTATAAAACATTCAAAATATTGAATTGTTCCATAACGAGAAGAAATATTCAAGTGTCTGTGAACCTTGATTGATTTCAGTGTTTGCCTGTATGCTTATCGAGTGTGGCATGCTTGGTAGCATTGGTGACGATGTTAAAATTGAGCTGAGAGTATATCTTTTCATCTACTTTTGCCTCTTATTCTCTCTTACGACCATTTGTTTATATTTGCAAAAGCACATGCAACCGCATTCATCGATACTTCAATTCATTTTCAAACATTTTCTGTTCTCTTCGACGAACTAAATTTAAGATTTAAATCGATACATAACTTTTTGAAATCGGATTATGTTACTCAACTCTGCTGCACAACATCGTGTTAAACATTTTAATCTATTATTAGCACGTGAATTATCATTAATTGAACGTAAATATTCACAAAATTTAATCACTCATCAAAAACTTGAAAACTCAATACGTCGAGCTAATAATCAAACATTGAATAATAATCGAACAAAAATATCTATGCCATTTGATAATATTTATAATGAGCAAACTGAATCAATTGATTATCATAAAATACAGATTAATGATTATAATAATAATAATAATAACTCAAATCAAAAACGTCGTTTATCAGTTGGTGCCTGTAGTAATATTAGTCAAAATCAAACAAATTCTGATCAAATAGATGAATTTTCTGATGATACATCATCTTTTATGTCATTACGACGTCGACGATTCTGTACAAAAAGTCAACGTTTACCCCCGATTGTAAAAGCAACTATATCAAATCGACAAAAACGAGAAAATAAAACTCATCAATGGATGACAAATCTTCCCCAATCAAATAAATCACAAGAAAATGTCAATGAACAATTAATAATATTAAATGAAGAAACATCAAAATCTAATCTACCAGAATTAACACCAATACAAAGACAAGTTCGTTCATTTCTTGAAACATTACCGACATATAAAGGTGTTCAACGTGGTTTCGATAGTTTTGGCCCAGCTTCACTCTATTCACATCATGCATCAGTTGCTATTCGATAAAAAAAGAAACAAACTTATTTTATTTTTATGTCGAATAAAAATAAAAAGAACAGACACATAACATCTAGTCATATATATGATGAATATATTCTGAAGATTCTAACTCATCTTCTTATGTCTCATTCTTCTTTCCAATAATAATTTATGCTCATATCAATAATTGTTGTTCTTCAATGACAATGGATATGTCTGTCCTTCATCATTTTCATTCTCTTTTTTTTTTTCTTTTATCTCTTCGTATGGTACTCGTAAAAAAGCCGTCACAAATAATTATACTTGTTTTCATTTTTTTTTTATTCAAAAGTATCACCATCATCATACATAATGATTCTTATGTGCGGGGGTTAACCATATTATTTTTTATCTTTTCTTTTTTATTTCAAGGTCGAACAAACAAAAAAAAAAATAGAAGAAGAAAGTAAAGTAAATAAAAAATTATATCCATCATGTATTCCATCGATACTACATGTTTGATTAATATTTCACCGTATTATTATAATTCTTTTTTTCTTTTTTGTATTGTCTCATTCACATTCTCGTATACATTTTTTTTTCTGTAGAAAATACATAACAATAAACAACAGAAAAGAAAAGTTCTTGTTTGTTTTAATATTGTCGAGCGAAATACTCGCGTTTTTGGCATTCATAGATACGACGAATATCATTGCGAAAATTGACATTAAAAAATGAATAAATGAGTGGGTTGCACTAAAATGTATAGATACAAAAGAAGTTGTTTTTTTTTCTATTTTTAATTATTATATATATATATTTGTATACATACTGCACTGTTGATATAATAGAGTATAAATAGGACTTCACGAAAATTGTGTGGTTCAATTCTGAACAATGCATGAATTAATGATGGTAAATACATAAGAATAAATGTAGCTGTAACAATAAATAATGTAAATGTTGTTCGAATATTTGCTAAACGTTCTTGTGTTTGTTGTCGTTCAAGTACACGTTGTGTTTCACCATCAAACGTTGATGGACGACGTGCTGATGAAATAGATAAATTTCGTATCGAAGAATTTCTATGATCAATTGATGATACTGTTGATAACGAACGATTCTCATTTATATGAACAGTTAATTGATGTTGTTGTTGATGTTGTGGGGATTGATTTACAGATAATGATAAATGAGGCGGAGCTAAACTAGATCGTTGATAAGTATTTGGTGAATCTTCACTAATACTTTGATCAGCTATTCCAGCAGACGTCACTATTCATATAAAGAAAAAAGAGAGTATTTCCATACTTCTTACTGTTGTCTGTAATTATTAAAAAAAAAGAGAGAAGAATCCAACTGAGTCAATCATCCGCTTTTGATGGGTAGTCCGGATAAGAAGTATCCTATAGGGTAGATGTCACGTCTCGTTTATGCACTTGGCTTTCTTTATCAAGGAAAAATGTAAAATAGAACGTAAAAACATAATTAGGTTTTTTTTCATATCCGAATGAGCATCAAAAGACACTATGTGTACTTCAAGAAACCTGAAAAAGAAAATGATGTATATGGAATTGAATGACGTATCTTTGTCTTTTATATAATCTTTAGGGAAATGAATCAATATTAAAAAAAAAAACAAATAGAGCAATTTTGAATAGTCTAATAATATACATACTAAATGATACTTTTCGTTGATGAACTGATACATCTGATAGTCTTTGTTGCTGTCGAATAGATAATGTATTACTTGGTTTACGTACAATTGATGAATGAGGTACATTCGTACATTGTGATACACTTCGTTGTATTTCATTTTCATTTAATTGATTATCTTTATGAATAAGTTCACCTGATGATGGCGAGACGGTTGATGTTGTGGTTTGTTGTCCAGGTACAGTTAAATGTGTTGAATTTGAAGGTGTCATAGGACGTAACTGTAATGCATTATTAAGTGTTAATGATTTTGTTGCTTGTTCAAATGAATCTTCGGTTGATGTTGATGGTCGACTAGTTGATGAATGTTCAGTTCCACAATAAGTTGTTGCAGCTATTGAATTAATTCTTGAACGTATTAAATTTGATGATGTTGTTTCATCCCATATACCACTTGTTAAATAAGTCATTGATGTCATTGATATAGCTGAATAACGTTTACCACGTGCACCATTTACTTCTAAAACAACTTGTGGTCTACATTTATGTTGAGTTGTTATTATTGATGATGGTTCATCTTGTATATGACGATGATGCATTTGTTGTCGTCGGTGATTTAATGGTTCATGTAAAGTTGATTCTGATGGTCGTTGTAAATCATGTATATATTCAGTACTTGTTTTACAACAGTAACAACAAATAAGTGTTAATGTTGATGGTGAATGTTCATTATGATAACGATGACGACGATTATGCATAGTTTTTGTTGATCGTGTTCCAGTATTTTCTGTTTCATTATGCATTAAATAAGAACGAATTATACGACGATAAGCAGATAATTTTCTTGTACGTGTTACACGACGTTGATAAACAGCATTATATATAAATGCATACAGAATAAGTACAAGTAAAATACATATTGCAAATAATGTGCTATGAAACATTCGATATGCATCAAGAAATTTTGATGATCCAAGATCTTTAAAAAACATATTTTATAAATTAATAAAGAAAAAAAAAAGACATTAAAAAAATTATTTTAATTATATCTCAAAAGCTGTTCAATTTCTAACGTAATATGACTTTTTTTGCTTGAAGTATTGACTTAAAATTCATTAAGAAAAAAGAATTTTTTTTTTTTTTGTTAAACTTACGTAAATTAGATTTTGGACTACAGCTAACATCTGTTAAATTGCCTGCTATAAACGGTACTGTTGTATCACTTTTTTTAATATGTTCAACATGTTCATACACCATGTCATCATCGTCATCTGAAGATTTTATTGAAAAACGTTCTGAATGATTATTATGTAATTGAAAAAAATGTTCCCTTGTTGAATACTCAGTCATTGGTATAATAGCTAAAACAAACAAATCCATGATTTTTTTAGCTCTTTTTTGTTAAAGAAAAAAAAAACATTCTAAGAAATAATACCTAATAAAGATGATAATATTCCGCAAACAACAACAATGCCACGTGCTCGACGTATAGTAATAATTTTATATAATGGCCAACATATACAAAAATATCGATCAAATGCAATTGTTGTTATAAGAAGAGTTGAGTAAAGTACATGTGTGGATAAAAATCCATAAAATTTACATAAAAATTCATTTCGAATACCTATTTTTAAAATACAAAGTCATATTAACAGTAGTCAATAATTCTTAAAACTAGTAGGATTCATTCGTTTTTATGTTATTTATGTATCAAAGAGTTAAAAGAAAACAATAAGAAATACTATCAAGATTCTATTTTCGAATTTTTCTTTGAAAGTTTAAAATGGTTTCTGATGAATATTTTTTGGTTTCCAATTTTAATTTGTTTTTCTTGTTGTCGACAAGTAAAAAAGACTGATAATGATGATGATGAAAGTAACATGAAATTTTTAAATAGAAAATATTTCTTTTTCTTTTTTTCTGTTATTATTACCCAAAGACGTAGCATATGAAGTTCATAAGAATTTCTTTTTCATAATTAATTTTTTACCTGTTGTTATTTGATATAATTCTAGAGGTGCCAAAATCAAACATATAATTAAATCAACAACAGCTAACATTTTTATAAAAAATGTACATGTCTTATTATCTTTACGATTAATATAAACATAAAGTACAAGAATATTTCCTGTTGTACCGAATATAATTGTTACTAATAAAACAATCCATAAAGCAATCAATACAAATAAATTTATTGGATGATCAATATTAGCTGAGTTAATTTGACTTGAATAACTCATAGAAGTTTCATTTGATATATGTGATGCTAATGATGATTCTATTACTTCATAATATGATGTTGTTTCCATTAATGATTATCCGTTTTGTATGTTTTTCTAAATCTTTAGTTAAAAACAAATATGTAAACAAAGATACAATACAATCTGTCAGACATGTTGCTCACTAGAAACCTTCTTTTCTTACATGCACACATATATATATGCAACGTCATTAAAATGTAGTAAACTACGTCTATTCATTGACAACTATCAGTTTGATACCTATAATTAATAATGAGAATAAGCTTTTGACAAAAAAGAACACTAGAAAGTTACATATACTCGCGTGATTTATGTCGTATTACGAGTAGACAAATAGTATAGCCAAACGTAGTGAGAATGAATAGACCGAACTTGAACTATATTATTTTTCGGTGAGAAAAAGAAAGAAAATGATCTATGTTCTGTTTTCTATATGATCATAAACCTTGTACTCGATACTTCAAGTGTATCTTCAAAAACAAAATATGTTTTATTTCTTCTCGCTATCTTTCTCTTTTTCTGCTCAGCGTTCTTACTCACTTTGTTCTAATTATATTGACTATAGGCATTCCTTTTTTTTTCTCTGTCCCTCTCTCTCTTTGTTCCCTCAGTCTATATCCTGTTCAGCTTAGCTAGCCAATGTTGATAGGCGGTGCACAAGCTCACATTTTCCTAAGCACGCACATATACGCATATAAATACACACACGCAATATGACATCGTCTCTTCAATGCTGCATCATCATTGACTAATCGTAATAAAAACAATAGTGATAGTATGATTTGTAACTTAAAAATCATTATATTGCTATGAACAAAAAGATCGTTATAGAAAAATATATATACTGAGCGAATGCTTATAATAAGACATCTATAAAGGAAAGACTGAAGAAAGACAAAAAAAAAGCGAGTGTACGTGACGTAGGATTTTAAGGAAAAAAACGAAGAAAAAAAGAACTGAGAAAAAGACAGAGTCAATTAAAGTAATCGTCAGTCGAGAGGAATGGGAGACCTCCTGACATCAAAGTAGTTGTTGGTTGACGAGGCTTGTAAGAATCAAAGCCAAAAACTTCATGATCTATACATGTCTTCTCAAATGAATTAGCTTTCTCAGAAAGTGCACATAATCAATTTTTCACATTGGATTAAAAATCAAGGACAGATGCTTTCATGCAATTGTGGATCACAGTCGTCATCAATTCAATTTTGCTCAACAAAACAAAAAAAAAAAAAAAACTACAAACACACACAATCTTATCTAACAACGTTTATTCTCAAGCGATAAAAATTTGACTCAATTAGATGCAATATTATCGTTTTTTTCTGCTTTTTCGAAACATTAGTAGTCTTTTTGATTTTTTTACACTTGATAACGCCGTATTCTAATAATAAAAGATGATCATAAGACAAAAAGTAACTATTTAAAAATCTCAATTAATGGTTTTTTTAGTATTTTTCATGTTCTTTTTTTTTACTTATGTAATGCACTGGCTTGTAGAGCTGGAAAATGTCCTTATTTATATCAATATATACTTTTTATACCCATGTAATGACAAATAACAACAGCCCATCTGTCTGTGAATTATTAGACTGAATTGAATAATTAAAAAAGATCAACTAACGTTGCTAGCGTAATTTGATTTGTTTTACTGTGTTCTCTGTCATTGTGATGAGAACGTGTCTCTACGCGTGTTTTGTTTTCAATCTGAGAACTTCATGAGAAATCACACCCAAGAATTAAAGTCGTTGCTTTCTATTGAGCGTCAATTTCGAAAGCGCTCATGATCCAGTCAACCTTGTATTTTCAAACATACACACATAGGATCTGGATCGCACACGTTCATGAACATTTGTCATGAACACACAATAACAAGCTATTATGGAAATAGAGAAAGAAAGAAAAAAGAGGGGGGGGGGGGGAATTGGTGAAAAGAAAGAAGAAGACTAACCGACGGACTTGGATACAGACACAAACACACGCCTAGGACACAACATAAAACGGAAGTCGTTTTCTTTCTCTTTTTTCATGTCTATATTTTTCTTTCGATGACAATGTCTATAAGCTACAAGTCGCAACCAGTTTCCCTATGCTGTTTTCTTTTTTTTTAATCTAACAAAACTAAAAAAGACGATGTAATCTTCAAAAAAGATCATCATATTAGGGTGTTAATGCTTACAGTGACATTTCTTCTTGAATATTCATATACTTGTATTGATGCAAAAAATAATTAAATAGTTTTCTAAGTAGACTCTTCTAGATGAATAACTTATCCTTAATGATTTTTCTCTATGTAACAATATTTTATGTCAATAATTTTCGATTAAACTTTATTTTATATATGCATAACAAAGTCAGTAACTTTCATTGTCATATTGTTGTCGATCTCTAAGTCATTGTCTATGGTAAAATGTCATGTCAATAAAATTAAGGCATAGCAAACAATGTTGCTTATCCGATAACCTATATAGACAATAGTAAAACAAACAGGCAATGAACAGTGATAAGATAAAACGCGATCGTATTTTCCAATCAAATGCATTATATAAAGAAAAAAAAATCCCAAACGAATTCTACAGAACGATTTCTATAGCATTGTCAATTTATTCCAATCTCGATCATTATTATATATCATAACTAACGTCTATCCTTAAGAAAATACATTCAAGGTAGATTAATAACTCGTTCCTATAACCTGACATGTATATGCGCATATTTAAATGAATAGTTTTGTTTTTAGCATATATTTTTCCTTTCATTAATAAATAATGAACAATTCTTAAGAAACATGCACTAACTAAACTAAATAGAAATCAGGCATATGTTATATAAATAAGAAACTATTCCAAACACGAGATTATTGATACAACATTAGCAATTTGTACTTAAATTCGACAATAAGAAAAAAACCTATGCCTACGCTTCATTTAACAGTCGTTGAATATCAAATAAATCATCAATCTTTTTTTCTCTTATTCTATAATTAAAATAGATATAAACAATAGACGAAGAGAAATGTGAAAGAAGTTAAACTTACATCAACCAATAGTTATTCAATAATGATAAAGTTTTACTTTTCTCTTCGCCTTGGAGATTAACTTTCTTTTTGCTTGACAAAAATACAATACATGTATTAACAACAGGAGAACTAATAGAATATGGAAAAAGTATAAAAAAAAAGAGTGAGAGAGGAAAACAGTAGGGAAGTCTCCTTAGAGATCAATTCTCGGAGTAGCATTATCCTCTCATACACACACACACACACACACACACAATGACATGGGCATAAAAATAAAAACAAGAGAAAAAAAATGAAACAAAAAATATGATCAACGATTATTAGCAAATGCAATGAAACAAGAGATTTGTTCATTGTTTTTGCATTTTTTCAAAGATAGTAATTCGTAGGTAGACGATCCTATCGATTCTAATAACCTAGAGACATTGACTTCTTGGTTTTTATTTTTTTTTTACATCGAAAAGACAGTACCTATGAATGAAGAAGGATTAGAAGAGAAAAGCAAAAAAATACTTAAGAGAGATTGATGGAAGAGGCTATTTCAATGTTTTTGCATGTGCATATCTTATATATATATATGTGTGTGTGTGTGAACGAGCAACATGCAAATGAGATTTCTCAACGACTTATAGAAGTACTCATCTAGCAAAGAAGATAAATTTTCTCAGGCTGATCATTATATCAATTTGTCATTGAGAATAAGATGATTAAAAAGAAAAAGAATAAATCATCGTTTTCTTTCTTATCTTAACTAGTTTTTCTGTTTTGTACTCCAATTCATTTGAACATTTTTTTTTGAGAATTTTCAATTACGAGAAAAAGAAAATTAAGTACCAGAGGTCCTATAGATTTATGAGTAACTCGTATATAATATTATATATTAAAATGCATAATAGAGTTTTTTTCTTTTTCAAGAATATTTGAGCGCTAAATTGGTATAAATGAACTAGTTTATTGTACTTATGTTGCACGTAATAAGAAAAAAAAAAGTAAAGTACAAAAGAAAAAAACATCACCGATTACATCAAAATTTAAATAGTTCATTTGTTTGCATCATTTTAAATTATTATTGGCCTTTCGTCTCATTTCTACAAATGAAAATTTTTTTTTTACAAATCATTAAATCAATAAATACTTACATAAAGTTCTAATAGATCATCATCATTATTTTTATTATTGAACTATTGTTTCGTTTGTTTTAGTTAAATATTCACAAGTATAAAAAAAATAATCAATTTTATTTACCATTTTCATACAAAGCCTTTTGACGTAAATCCTCAATTAGTTGAGGATTTTAAATCATCATGTGCAATAATTTTATCAGGATTTATTAATATTGTTTTTGTTTCTGATTCTTTTGTTATTATTGTTTTATTTTCAGGAACTTTCATTGTCTTCTCCGAGATGCCTTGAAGATCTATATTGATATATATATCTATATATATATATATATATATATATATGGAAAAACAAGAGATGAATGACAGATAGGAAAAAATAAAACAAGTCAACTTACCAAGAGAACGAACAATATAAGTAAAAAGTGTTGTTTCAGCATCGGTAGCTCCATCAATAACACATGAATATACGCGTTCATGTATATCACGATTGATCGTTAGTTCAATAGAATAATCAAACAGTGAAAGAGGAAATACCAACGTAGTTAATCACCATTATATTGGTTTTTTTAAAAGATAATCAGTAACAAGAATGTTGTCTATTGATCCATTACCAACAACCCAAAACACACTAACTGGATCTACATAAAATAAATAGATAGATATGAAATCTTTCTTTTTGTTGTTGTTATAAACTCTTTACGATTATAACTATGTACGACACATTGAAGAAATGCTGTTTGATAAGTATCAATAGCTGTTGTTGAAGTTGTATGCATGTTTGTAAAACATGGTAGGTTACTTAAACTTATTTGACAAAGCCGCGGAGTTATGCAATAACAAAAAAATATGAACTAGATATTTAGTTTCGTTATTTACAATTCTTACGAACCAGTTAATTCAACACGGTAACTAAGTGCTGATAAATTTGCATTTTCTTCCAAACGATTATCTTCATTATTATTCTTATGACTTGATAATTGTGGACGGATAATACATCGATAAATCCCACTATCGTCAATATTCACATATCGTAATAAAATTGATACATCAGTAATATCTGTTTCGTTAAAATTTGTTGAATATGGTACAGCACTTGTTATAAAACGAAGAACTGTTGGACGTACAGGAGTATATACAGGATAAATTTTAATATTTATTGAGTTTTGAAAATCTTGATACCATCATTCAATAGTTGAACCTTAAAAAATATATTAATATACAAAAAAAATAGTTCATTAATTTAATTTTTATTTTACGTTTTAAATGAGCAACATGACAAGGTAAAATTAAACTATTGCTAGATGAACGTAAGCGAATTGGATCTTGTGTTGATATTTCAAGAAAGCAGAGTGTATCTCTATCATCCATTGATATTAAATTATTACAGAATGTATCAGTTGATGATGATAAAAGTTTCTTGCAAATTAAGGTTATCTTTTAGATTTCCTTTATATTTGAAATATTCAACTTACGATTGTTACTAAAATAGACGTATGAAATTTCAAATACTGATAGTTATAGATCATTTTTCCGTCTGATGCGTACACTTGACGAACGTAAAGTGAATAAGAGAAAAATGATCACAATCAGATTGTTTATTAACATTCTTTTTCCTGTACGATTTGAATAAAGAAAATATATACAAACTTGTATAGGACAATTATCGTCGTTTTATTTAATAACAGTACGAGACAACGAAATGTGATTGTATGATAGTCTCTTCATTATTTTATTGAGGGTTTCACCTCATGTGTTCGTTTTACAGTTCAACCAGAATGTCGAAACCGAATGTTCAATTTAAATTCTGCTTTTATATACTTTATTATTTATGACATTGAATAAAACAAAAAGAAAATGTGATGAAGATTTTGTAACTGTTTTATAAGTATGCTATGAATGTCACACGATACTCATATTTATAGAAAAAAATAATCTCTCACACTTTTATCATTCACGACAAAATTGTTGCAAGGATAAGCTATTGACATGACATTGTAATAGTCAAGTTCTAATCATTTATTAGAAAATACTTCTAAAAAGCTTTTCTTTTCTAGTAAAAAAATACATTTAAATAAATCGAATATAGGTGAAAACCTTAAAATGTAACGCTTGAGATTTCAAATATGTTTGTTTATTATTTGATTCTTCTTCTAAACATATGATTTAATAGGTATTTACAACACAGATGTTTAAAATGACGTTATTTTCAAACATTTGAATATTGAAAACAAAAGAATTAAAGTTGATTTTATATTAATGTTCATTATTTGCATATACTTTTCTATTTGCAATGAGATTTTAATTACTATGCTTTTTTCCTTTCCACCATACACTTATTCATATTTAAATTTTTTATAATCATTGCTGAAGTGTTACGATTATTATCTTTGCGGAGCCTGATATATTAATTCATTCTTTGAATATATGTATGCCCGCAAAACAGACGGATCAATTAATTGGATAGGCTCATATGTAATTCAATAAACATCATTGAAGGTTGATCAAGAAAAAAACATTGAAGTACAAGAGATTGAAAAGAATTCTTCTTATTCTCTTAAAGAATAAATTCTACACCACTTTCATAGTATTTTTGATTACAAAATGCAGCTATGACGATCGTCTACCTATAGTACGAATAAAGGTATCGAATGTGAAAGAAAAAGAAGACGAAAAAAAAAAGAACGAAAAGAAGGACATATTCTCTTCTATTACAAGATTTTTTTATTACTCGTTGTTATATGTTTTATTTCGTTCTAGACAACCAAATATTATATATATTTTTTTTTTTTGGAATAGTGATGCTTTATTTAGTATAAAAGAAGGCGAAGAGGAGAAAAAAGAATCCAACTGTTGTATTGTTCTCATCATCTTTCGTTAATTCAACAACACCTACGAACTTTGTTATAACAATTTAATCTAAAATATAAAGCAAATATCATGCTTTTTCTTATCAGTTTTGCATGGCTCGTGGCTGCAAGTTTTGCTTTTTTTCTGGCTATTTTAACTCCAAATTGGTTATCATTTACATGGCCAGGTGTAGATGGAAATACTAGAGTAGAACGTGGAATTTTTTATGTATGTAATTCGTCTCAAATTGATAATGATTATAAGATAACACGATGTTTATCAATGATAGAACAGAAATCAGTAATTGAATCAAATATATGGATCTACGGTAGGTTATATCTTGAATTGTAGTTTTCTTTTTAATATAACTGTCAAATTTCATTTATTATTATTATTTATCATTATTTGACAAAATAAATATTTTCAAATTATGTTATTTCATGTCCTTAATTGATGGTATACTTTATGAAAGAAAAAAGAGAGAATATTGACTAATAAATTATATTTCAAGGTTTTCATAGAATTTGCTATTGCATGTGCATCATTGGCTATTGCTTGTGTTGGACTTAGTATCATTGTTTTATGGTTATCAGGAATTTATTTTCAAGTACGTCGACGAACAAAGGAAACATTATGTTTTCTCCTTTGTATTATTCTTCTAACTTTAATCATCTGTAAGTAAATTAATAAAATCATATTTTGGATAATTTTTATCTTGAAATACATTTCATAGTTTGTTCTTCATTTGTCGTTTGGATTTTACTTATCTCTGAAACTCTTAAACTTGGTATTTCAGTTAATCGTGATATATTTAGTTGGCCAATGTGGTTAGCAATTGGCGCAACGGGTGGTTATTTAATGTCACTCTTAACAATGATTTTTTCATTCTGTGCGATAAAAAAACGGAAAAATAAAATTAAACAAAATTACTATCGTCCAAGAAATCAATTTTAAAACATTATTTATTTCATGTTAGTTTTTTTTATTGTTATGATAAATATTCATCAAAATTCATTTTTAATTAATATACTTGTATATTTTCGATATCCTTTCTTATATTTGAGTCCTTACGTTCTTGCTTACAAGCTCATGTATCTTTCTGAAAAGATAAAAGCACAAAAAAAAAGAAATTAGAAAGAAAACTTTTCATAAACTTATAGTCGGACGGAGTTTTGTTTTTTATTGGTTCATGTGTTAAATACTTATCAGCTCTTACAAATAGCAACTAGATAAACAATAAAAGCATAAAAATATGTGCCAAATGATACCACATTGATCCAAAATGAAAAGCCAAAATCTTTCAGACGAACATCTTTAAGTTCGAATACTTTTTGTTGTGCATTTGTTGTTAACATCAGTGCCCAAACACTGATAGAAAATAAAACTAAAGTAAAACATTATTCAAATAAAATTATATATATCTCGGAAGTGAAAATTTCACATACGACTGCAGAAAGTAGCAATCAGAATTAACGTAAGTAACCATCTTGAAGCATTATCACGTGCGCATCGTTCGACATACCAAGAACCAAGTAAAAGACCAATAAAACTAATGCCAACACAAGCAATAGAAAATGAGGCAATGAGAATTGGATATACCATGTTAACTTAGAAAAAAATAAATAAATAAATTCATTCTTGTTTTGTTTTTCTTATTTGACAAAAAAAAAAGAAGTTTTCTGTAATTTACTTTCTTTAAGTAACGGATTCTTTAATTGCGAGAAGAAAACCCATTGACAAGATTGTGATGATGAAAAATTTGTGCATATTTGAAAAATATTCATAGTTATATTTTTTTCCGAACAAACGTACCACTTTGGTGTAAGAATAGCTGCGATAAATATTAATGTAGCGAGTAATAGTATATGGTGTCCGTGCAAAGCCAACGACATATTACTTCTTCTTTTTCTTCAAACTGGCAAGGTAAAAGTTCTTAGTACAGCATTCCTATTTTTTTCTCTTTCTCACTTTTTTGGTTCCGTCGTTATTTTAGTGCTAGCAAACATCATGTTCTCTTGTTCACTCCCTTCTCTCTCTTTATTTGCTTTCATAATCATATCACGTCATTTCATTGACTTGTCCATCTCCAACAGCAAGAATTACCGATCTTAGTAGCACAGCAGATATATATCTATAAGAAAAAATCATCTAAGAAGAAAAAAAAAGGAAATCTCATCCAAAGACGTGCAAAAATAATAAAGAGTGCTTTTCTTATTATTGAATTAAGAGCATTTACTTAGCTCATGAAACTAAAAAAAATATTTTTCTTCCCTTATATTGATGTTCTCTTCCAACATATAGGTCAACATGAAGTAAAAAAAAAAGAGTTGAGTAGGACCTAGTGATAGTTTCTCTTTCTCTCTCCTCTTGAACTACATATGTCTATGTTCACAAAAAAAAATAAAGAATAAGCTTGCAAGATTTTGAAAATCTGAGTCATTTCTTATTCTCTATTGAATAAAATAAATTCTTTTAAAGGTCATCAAATAATATTTTATATCAAGTATATCTAGGCAAAATATGAGCCTATATAATGTCATTGATTAGCTATAGTACATTAACATGAAAATATAACTGAATCTTTGAAATGTGAGATCAAGACAGAAGATTTTGTATACTTGAATCAAACGAAATACGATAAATAGTGTCTTTTTCTCGACTTGATATCATCCAAGGAAAGAGTAACAAATATTAATATCATTTTTATCTGTAATTTCGAATAGAAGACATTGGATTCTCTTTCACTTTAATAGAAAACTGTATTTGTACTTAATTTCGATTAATTTTCAATAGAAAAAAAGCAAATACATATTTGTTACAGTTAAAATTTATTTTTCCAGTTTCTGAATAATATTTCTATCATAAAATTTCAGAGAATTATCAACAATGACCGAGTTTGTTGTTAAAATGTGCACATACAAAGGGAACATGCCGCAGGTCGATGAATGCGAGTTTATAACCTTCTTCTTCTTTTTTAAGAGAAATGACTTCCATTGAAATAAGTGCACAATTATATGAGATTGGAACGAAGAGTCATTTTTCTATGCTAAAGAACATGTCTGAGTGACGATGAACATATTATAATCTGAAAGATTGAATAACGTAATTTTCATTTTCCTTAATGCGCATGTTAATCTAGTTAATGATTGCGTTTATAAGAGAACTATGAGTAAATTATTACTTTTTGAATCAAACAATTGTTAAATACTTCAATATAAGTATGATCTTAATCATAAAGTACAAAATATTTTAAACTTTATCTTGTGAGATATGTACTATATTATTTAAAGAACTCTAATTTTATACAATAAATTTGAAAACAATTTTCTTGTTTTTCTCGATGGAAAATTTTTTTTTTTGATACATAATCTTTAAATGGTCCTTTGACTTGATGACCTATTTCAAAATGTAATAAATCTATATCATTAAATACAAATAAATACAAAATAGAATAATTATCTTGATTATATTGATATTCACCAACAACTGTCCAACATGATTGTGATATATCAGATGAAATTTTTGATTGAAAATTAATCATACGAAAAAGTGAACTAAGAATACTATTATTTTTAATAAAATAAACCGATATTAGATCTTCATCTTTATCATAGACGTACATATATTTTTTTATGTTATTTAATGTTTCTTCTGATAAATTTAACGAAGATAATATTTATTTTCCTTGTTCGATATAAAGAAGTTGTTTTTGACATAAATAAAAATATGCTTCTCCATAAGCAACGTCTTCAGTTGATTGATATGTTACTATTCGTTCTAATGATTATTTACTTTTATGACGAGAACGAAAAACAATACCAACAATGAATCGCTCATGTTTTGCTGCTGCATATAGAGAATCAATTTCGTGAAGTATAGACTTATCAGCTTCATCAATTCAATATTGTGCAGATACAACAATACCCATTGTATTCAATGATATTGAATCATTTGTTTCTTTAGCAATATCATGAACCATTCTAACATAATCAATATGTGAAAATTGAAGTGAACAATATTAAGTACGTATACGACGTTCTATATCTAAACCTATTTGTTGTATAGCAACTGAATGACTAGATAGCCGACCGAAAAAAAAATTTCAGCTACCTAACTAGCTCTTAACTCAATCATTATCCAATAAACACCTCGATATATACCAATAAATGCTAAATTAGGTAAAGATGGAAGAAAAACATTTCGATGAAGTATAAGAGGACAAAAGATATCGTCATGTTTATAAGGTAAATGTTCAAGTATATCAATTGAAAAAAAAATCAAGACATGATCGATAATCAGTACATAAAATAAGAATATCATCATTAGTTGTTTCAATTATTGTTTCATTATTTAATATTAAAAATGTTCCATCTTTATGAATTTCACTTAATCGTCCTTGTTTTAAAATTATTTTTTCTATTCGCTTCCATTCAACAGACATATTTGATATTGCAAGAAATGGTGCTTGATTATCAGTGTTTTTAATTAAACATGATGTTTGTTGATTACCATCAGTAATTAATCAATAATGTTCATTGAGTCTTTTATAATCATCAGTATTTCAAAATAAAATTTTCATTATTTGATGTTCGTATTGATCGATGATAGAAAATAAAAGTGAGAAAGAAATGGTGAACTTGAATCATTAGTTATTAGTGGTAGAAGATGTGGTACAGACCAAAAAGTATATGGTGCCATATGTATAATATGCTTAGCACTTGTTGCCATATCAGCAGCTATTTTAGTTGTACTCATCGATATACCAACAAGTATTCCACGTTTGTTACGTACTTGTTCTGATGAACGATAATCATTACTGTACATAAATGTATCTTGAAGTGTTGAGAGATCAATTATATTATCAGGTATATGATGATATTCAAAGAAGCCTGATGTAAATATAACGAAGTCATATTGTATTCATAATATCTCATTCGATTTTGTACGATTACGTTCTGTCCAATGAGATTTTCTATCTTTAGAATAAATAACATTTGTAGCGTGAGTATTAAATTGAAAAATATCATGTAGTAATGATTGTGGAATATCGGGTGTTCCAAAAGTTTTGCAACATTTTGTATTTTGCATTTATCCCGACTTGAGAAAATGATAAAATCTTGATGTTTTTCTTAAAAGATGCACCGTGAAAAGCTCTACAAAAACTGTATAAAGAAATCTCTATTAACTGGTTCTGATGGTTTTCCGATGCTTAATACGAACAACCTACATGGTGGCGCTATGTCCCACCGTATTAAGCATTGGAAAAATGTTTGAAAGACCTTTTTCGTTTTGCAATAGGGATTTGTTCATACAGATTGTGTAGAGCTTTTAACAGCGCATCTTTGAAAAAAAATCAAGATGTTATCATTTTCTCAAGCCGAGATATATGCAAAACAAAGATGTCTTGCAAACATTTTTATTATGCTGAAAAATAGCTCTATTATTTAGGTAGTTCGTTATGAGTGTGGAAAAACCAANAAGAACACTACATGCTGCTATTTAATAATCAATCAGTATGTTAAACAAGCTCATATACCGAGTGTTCCAAAAGTTTTGCAACATTTTGTATTTTGCATTTATCTCGACTTGAGAAAATGATAAAATCTTGATGTTTTTCTTAAAAGATGCATCGTGAAAAGCTCTGCAAAAACTGTATAAAGAAATCTCTATTAACTGGTTCTGATGATTTTCCGATGCTTAATACGAACAACCTACATGGTGGCGCTATGTCCCACCGTATTGATCATTGGAAAAATGTTTGAAAGACCTTTTTCGTTTTGCAATAGGGATTTGTTCATACAGATTGTGTAGAGTTTTTAACAGCGCATCTTTGAAAAAAAAATCAAGATGTTATCATTTTCTCAAGGCGAGATATATGCAAAACAAAGATGTCTTGCAAACATTTTTATTATACTGAAAAATAGCTCTATTATTTAGGTAGTTCGTTATGAGTGTGGAAAAACCAACAGAGCAAGTCAAGAGAATTTGTTTACACGAACTTTGTAGAGCTTTTCACGGCGCATCTTTTAAAAAAATAATCGAGATTGTATCATTTTCTCAAGTCGAGATATAGACGAAATAAAAAAAACTTATAACATCCGGTAACAACGTCACACATATCTTCACTTTTAATCATCTCGAAAACCATCAGGACCAGTAAATAGAGATTTCTTTATACAGTTTTTGTAGAGCTTTTCATGGTGCATCTTTTAAGAAAAAAAACAAAATTTCATCATTTTCTCAAATCGAGATATATGCAAAGCAAAAAGTGTCTTCCAAACATCTTCTAATATTGGGACATAGCACTACCATGTAGATTGTTCGTATTAAGCATCGGAAAACCATCAGAACCAGTTAATAGAGATTCCTTTATACAGTTTTTGTAGAGCTTTTCACGGCGCATCTTTTAAGAAAAAAATCAAGATTTTATCATTTTCTCAAGTCGAGATAAATGCTAAATACAAAATGTTGCAAAACTTTTGGAACACCCGGTATAGTTTGATTGTTAAGAATAAGTATCACGTTGACTAGAAAATAATGGTGCATCTGTAGACCAAGGAAAATCAGATAATGTTGTAGAAAATTTAGAAATATTAATTTTCATTGAATTCCAGCATGATTTTAAATCAACATTTCACATACCATTTATGTCTGATGCCTTATCAAAAACAGTAGATCGAATGCCAACTTTATACGCATGAACTGCTGAAACAAGACCTAATAAACCAGCACCTACAATAACTACACAATGCTTCATAGTTTATATAATGAACAAGACAGATTTATGTTAATTTTATTTATTTAGCGCAGCACAAGATAGTCCAGCAGTTGCTGTGTAATATCCATGTGACCATTGTGTCCAATTACACTCTTTTGTTTTTCTTTTCTTTTCTTTGCCTATTGTTTGCCATGATATTGTTATCCTCTTCATTCACCGTCTTGATATATTGGTATAGTTCTTATACTGGTCTTTGAGAACATAGCATAAAGGGACTGTTTTTCCGTCGATAAAAACTTGCAACATCTTTATAATTTAAAATATATATTTTATTTTCATTCACCTTTTTTTTCTGTCTATAAAGCATCATGTTTGTTATGAGACAAGAACAAAAATTGAATTCATGGAATCAAAGTTTCTTTTAGTAAAAATTTAACTAGAAAAAACCAATAGATTGAATCAATTTCTACTGATACGATTCAAATAGGTTTTAACGCTTTGTCATTTTCATTAATACACAAATGATCGAACTATCAAAATTGATTCGCTAACCGTTAGAAGTATGACAAACACGTTTTATCGAATCAAGTTTTCTTTACGAACTTTATAAACAAGAATAACATTTTACTCTTGTACATCTGTACAGAAAAAAATATGATGAAATCAATAATGGTAAACTTTTTTTCGAAATGTAAATATGCATTAGTAAGAAATGCACTTTACTTATCCAGGGATTTTAAATGGTCATTCTTCTTCTTTGCCTGATTGCCTATTTTATCTAACGAATAGACATGATTATCAAACGAACGAAAGAGAGAGAAAGAGAGAGAGAAAGATAGATAGAAAGAAAAGATTTATTGTATCGACTAAAGAATTTGAATCAGTTACACTAGTCATTCCCTTCTTGTGGCGGGCGACGACAATCACGACAATATCAGATTTTTCTTTCTATCAATTGGTTTTATTATTATTATTTGAAATTTTATATTGAAAGAAAAACAAAAAAAGAATATAAATTGATGGCTGATCGCAAATTATTCATTGGAAATCTTGTACGTCGTATTACTCAAGAGGATTTATGGGTTATGTATTCAACATTTGGACCATTGGAAGAATGTGCTAAATTTCATGAATCATTTGGATTTGTTCGTTTCTTACATGCTGAAGATGCTCGACAAGCATTAAAAGCTACTCATGGTATAACACTTAAAGGACGATGTATTAAAGTTGAATTTGCCGCAACTACAACTTCATGGCGATCAGCTAATAATTCTTATTTTAATGAATGTCGTTCATCAGGTAAAATTTTTTTTTCATTGAAATAATATTGATAAATATATCTTTCGAATTTAGCTCGTTATAATATTCCACCTATTCGAGCTATTGACTTATCAAATCATCGAGGACATCATCATCGAATAATTAATAGTTTGCCATCGTCTTTGTCACCGCCATCTATAGGTCCAATTGGCCATCGACGAAAAACTCATTCGAAATCATGTATGAATTCATTAGATTTTTTATTATTATCGTCATTTATTTTTTTATATAGTTACTTCTGAATCAACAAATTCTTCTGATACTCGTCAATCACATATAACATGTTCATCACCATCGTCATCTTATGCTGCTTCCTCAAGTCACATTACTGAGATGGATGATTTTGATTGTGATCTTGATAGTGGATATAATGATGAACATGATTCACTATTATTATTATCATCAGCAGCATATTTAATTCCAACATCACCATGGTATGATATGCCTATTGCTGATGAATTGTTCATTTGGGTAATAGTTTGTCAAATGATTTTGTCTTTAATTTTCTTTTTAATTTTTATTAAAGGATTTTCAATTGTATGCTGATATTGCTCGTGAACTTCCATTAATTAAAATAGATTATTTATCTTCTGAATTGGCCTATGATGACACATTAAATACAATGGATTATTTTGCAAAATTAAATATTGAAGATTATTTATAAGCATTATTTTATTTTTGATCTGATAAAGTTTTTTTTCTCTAAGAATCAATGTGTGTGTGTGTGTGTAGAGTTAATTATAGTAAAAATTACTGATCAATTAAGTTCAATAGAGAGCTTTTGTATTCAAAAATATTTGTCGGTTTGTCTTTCTTTTTGCTGAAAAACTTAAATGAAATCTTGATGAATCCCGTTGTTTTGTTTCTTTATTTTTTGTAATTCTCTCTTTTTTTGGGATATGGACAAGTTCTTTACTTTCTTTTCTTTTGTATGGTTTATTGTTCTTCAACTATTTTTGTCCTGTGTAGATGTGTCATCACTTCTTATTATGACTTTTCATTTTTTTTTAATTGGTTTTCTTTTCTTTTTTCTTTTTCATAGTAGTCGTTTCTTATTTAATAATTTACTTGTAATGATGAGTAGTGTATTTTTGATTCTGGTATCTTTATTTTTTTGTTTGTTTGTTTGTTCGTTAGTTTTCTTGTTCATATGAGTGAGTGAAAGATATTTCTATCTTATTTATCAATGTTCATAATTGCATGTAAAACATTTATTTTTGATGATAAAGAATAAAGGCGAATAAATATATGGTAATTCAGGAAAATGAACTAAATAAGTTTTATTTAATCAATATACTAAGATTTTGATGGTAAAAACAAATATTTCAACAATAAACTTAAGTTTTTTACTCTAAAATATGGAGATAGTATACAGGCTTATCAAATCTTCTCACTTTTAATATTTTCCCCTGGTGTTTAGGTTTTAAATTTGACTTTTAGAGATATTGTGAATCAATAACAAAATATAAAAAAGACAAAAGAACTGATTTATTAAAATGTTTACTCATTAGACGACTACTTGGTGATAGTATTTATCCCAGACAATTTCATTACACTTTTATAAGTACACAATATTTAAAAGAAACCGCTCATCTTCTGGATATGCGCTGCTGAAAATTAATAAAGGATGCCGATAATATCTATAAATCACGCTTAACTATTATTTTCGTGAGTGGATTATTCCGACGTACATGTGAACACTTGTTGACTACTTGGGTTTCGTCTGCATTTCAATGAGATTCATTGTTATATTATGCATTCATAAAATAAAATCGAATCATGTTCATGCCCTGATAGGTATATGTTAAGGGTGCTTAGTATAGTACATTAATAACATCAGTCCATCATACGCAATTGTGTTTCTTATGTAGAATGGTTCAAAGTAAATTTGAATACGGCATAGCGATGCATGCTTTCATAAGATTAGAAAATAGAGAAGGATAAGATCATGAAAAAAGACTAAATAAATACAGTTCAAATGAACGGTTTTTCTATTTTTTTTTCTTGTAATCAAGTCTTCACATGTTCATAATGACAGCCTTGAAAATGGTCGTGTCAGGGTGTAGGTGTGAGTTGCGAATGCATTCATGCGAGGTGCGAGTGTGTTGACGTGATGTTCAGGGTTGTTAGCACGGGCTATGGGGGGTGTTGATGTACGGTGTCGAGTATGTTCGTATGATGTTGGAGTACGGGGTTTGTGTAGATTTTTGTGTGTTTGTAGATATATGAATGCCATGTATGTTGTCAGATATGAATGTGGCGTGCGAGTGTGTTTGGGCGGGTTGTAGATGTGTTTCTGTAAAGTTTGGCTGTGGGTCACTTTGGATGTGGTTGTCAATGCATTAGAAAGATCCTTTATATTCATTCTGTATGTTCGTTTTTATTCTGAATGACTTGACTCAAGAAAAAGAAAAACTACCATGATGACATAAAGAATTAAAGAATGTGAACAGAATAAAATAGCTGTCGATAAGAACGAAATGTATCAAGGCATACAAAGTATATGGCTATGACATGATGCAGTGATATGAGTGGGATTGGTTCAACAAGTGATGTAAAGCACCACACAGCACGAACACTGACATTCTTATCGACACCAACATGAAATTGAATTCAACTTCCGATTTTGATGTATGTGATCGACTCATACGTATGCAAAGGACTTATAGATCGGAGTTGTAGGTAAGGACGCATAGAAGAGAAAATGCCCCAATTAAAACATGATTTTTATTTGGAATTATGCCAAATTTAAGATTTTTTTTCAAAAAGAACCCGACTTTTTTGTCGACGCTTCCAAAAAAAGTCTTAAAGTGGATTATATGCAAGGTTTCAGTGGTGTAGTCAGTAGTACGGTCGTTGGGCGATTGTCTACGAATTTTTTCAAATGACTCAAATTGACTAACGTCGAAAGATCTTGGCACACATACATTTACAAAGACTCAAGTGGTGTCACTTTAATGTATTGTATCGTGTTATGATCTAATCAAGTGATCTAGAAAGATCAATTGGCTATTTTTCCATTAAACCAATGCTCACAATGATGATAATTCAATGGTATGTTTTTGTGAAAATACCTGCTATTCCACTTAAACTCCCTTATGGTTCTATTTGTGATTATCTATGCGTCTTGACATAATACAGAGAATGTTGCTATAAGAGTCACTTTTTCAAGGAATCGAAAGTTTTATTTTTCTTACAGACAACTTTAAGCAAAATTATAAAAACTTTTTCATTGTTGAGCAAAGAAAAAACTGCTGAATCGAATAATGCAAAACTAATTCAAATATCGTCGAAATTAAACAAGTAATTAGCGATAGTTTATAAGTAGTTGAACTTGTTCGTATTACGAGCACTGTTTCTAATTCGAATAGCAACCAAAAATATCTTCCTAATAAGAAAAATCTATGTAAGATACATAGAAAATTAATTACTTTTAGTAGATAGATGCTCTTACGATCTGAACTGGAAAATCTCCTGCTGTTCTCATTACACAAATGTTTCTTGATGGATAATGCATTAACTTTCAGCGGTTTACGACAAGCACAGTTTTTTCCTTTTATTCTATCAGTGACATTAGTTCCAAAACCACGGTATTATTAACGAATTATAAACTATAATAACTTAATCATAATGTCGTATGGATCAAAATTATAAAAACTTATGTTGTGTCTACATCCATTGTTTTACAATTGTGCTCGGTCTATTACAAAAATAGTTCTAGGAAAATTTTAAGAAAGTATTTCGAACAACGGTATGTTGGGTACAATATTGATTAAAGATGATGACTGCATGTAAGCATAGAACAAAATTGGATTCAATCAAGTGAGAAATTACAAAATTAAACGAGTTCTTATTGCTATTGGTTTCATCTTAATTTAGTTAGTTCAACATATATGTATGTCAGAGGTCAAATCAAATTTCAGGCAAGAAAAAACTTATTCGGACCCCATTAATAATCTCACTACAAAAGTAACTAAGGTAAAATATGAGCTGCACATAGCGTATACAGATCTGCGAAATTTTCGAATTTCAAGATATTTTGTCTATCATGTGCCCACTGTACGAAAATTGCAGCAGCATTCTTGTTCTTTTTTCGTTACGATTGAATGAAACAACACGAACTACATAAGAGAAAACAATATCATACATATTGAAAAACCAATCATACAACTATCAGAATTTTCTATCCATTACCATTGTATTTATCAATAATGCTTTCTTGGAGATCGTAAAATTGGTTTTTCAATATGTATGATATTGTTTTCTCTTATGTAGCTCGTGTTGTTTCATTCAATCGTAACGAAAAAAGAACAAGAATGCTGCTGCAATTTTTCTACAGTGGGCACATGATAGATAAAATATCTTGAATTTCGAATATTTCGCGGACCTATATACGCTATGTGCAGTTCATATTTTACCTTAGTTACTTTGGTAGTGAGATTATTAATGTGATCCGAATATGATCAGTCGTCTTAACTTGAAGTGCACGACCTTTCATTGTAAGTTTTTTTTTGCCTGAAATTCGATTTGACCTCTGACATGCATATATGTTGAACTAACTAAATTAAGATGAAGCCAATAGCAGTAAGAACTCATTTAGTTTTGTAATTTCTCACTTGATTGAATTCAATTTTGTTCTATGCTTACATGCAGTCATCATCATTAATCAATATTGTACCCAACATACCGTTGTGCGAAATACTTTCTTAAAATTTTCCTAGAACTATTTTTTTAATAGGTGAAGCACAATTGTAAAACAATGAATGTGGACACAACATAAGTTTTTCTAATTTTGATCCATACGACATTATGATTAAGTTATTATAGTTTATCATCCGCTAGCAATACCGTGGTTTTGGAACTAATGCCACTGATAAAAAAAAAGGAAAAAACTGTGCTTGTCGTAAACCGCTGAAAGTTAATGCATTATCCATCAAGAAACATTTGTATGATGAAAGCAGCAGGAAATTTTCCAGTTTAGATAGTAAAAGCATCTATCTACTAAAAGTAATTAATTTTCTATGTATCTTACATAGATTTTTCTTATTAGGAAGATTTTTTTGGTTGCTATTCGAATTAGAAACAGTGCTCGTAATACGAACAAGTTCAACTACTTATAAACTACCGCTAATTACTTGTTTAATTTCGACGATATTTGAATTAGTTTTGCATTATTCGATTCAGCAGTTTTTTCTTTGCTCAACAATGAAAAGTTTTTATAATTTTGTTTAAAGTTGTCTATAAGAAAAAGAAAAATTTCGATTCCTTGAAAAAGCGGCTTTTCCTATTAGAAACATTTACTATAGCTGTTTTGTTGACATTAACGAACTTGTCTTCAGTAAAAATTGATTTTAGTGATGGCAATAAGTTTGAAGAAAACTGTAACCCAGTTGATTTTTAATTATCCATTGTTGCCCACTCCTCAAAATAATTAAACTGAGAAACAGTCCATGACCAAAAAATTCCTGGCTACGCCAGTGCAAATTTTACTGAATGAAATCATGTTTTTATTAAAAAAAGTAAAATACCTTCAAGCTCTTCTTATTTCTCATTAGTAACTTTTGTACACTGCTAGAAAATATAAAGAAAGAAATTTATTAGAATTTGTAAGTCTGCATGGCCTGGCGCGAGAAAAAAAAGAGAACACAACTAACAAATATTGGCGGTGCCCGTCTGTCATTGATAGAGTAATGGAATTTTTTCCTGTTGTTTTTATGCAAGCAGCTGAAAATATTTGTGTCTTACTTGTTAGTTATTTGTACCAGAAGATATGCCATAAAAGTTTCATAGCAACAAAAAAGTCTATATCAAGGGATAACTTTATTGTTTCTCTTCATTAGATTAAAACTAGAACCACAACGGCAATCACTAAATTTCAAAAAATCAACTAGTTCAAATCCAAGCGAATTCTTATTCACTTAATTTCATTTTCGATAATGACAGCAGAGAGAGGTCATATTCACGTGGAAGAAACTCTTCACGAAAAGAGTGGTCAAATTATTGACGCTGAATATATATCTACAAAGAACAATTTAATAACGATGACGAACGTAAGTATACCATATCACTGAAACAAGTAGATTATGAACGATTAGCAGCTACAATACAAAAACCAATATTACCGTTTGACAAATTTGACAAAGCTTTAAGACCATTCATGATGGCTGAATATGCAGCTGCTGATATACCTGAAGCATTTCGTCTTTTAGATGCTGATATTTCAGGTACAAATGATATTGGTGAATTAGCTGCTTTTATGCCTGTTATTTTACCTAATGGTAATCCACATATGCTCCTTCATCATATCGATAAAGTTGATAAAAATAATGATTACAAACTGAATTTAGCTGAATTTACTGATCTCATTGGTAAAAGTATCGGGCGAGATCTTGGACTTGGACGTCTCTAAAAAAAATTATTTCCAAAGACAATTCTTTTTTTTCTATTCGAACATTTAGTGTTTATTATTTAATCATTATTATTGAATAAAATATATTCATAATCCGAGAATTCACCGAAAATTGTTTCATCAAATATGTAATACGCGTAAAAATGATGTTTTATTCATATATAGATAAAAAGTAGATTGATATGCTTTTTTTTTACTCTATTTCTTCTCGTTTTAGTATTTTGAAGATTATATTTGATTGGATTGATTCTCTGAACTATTAAACTTTGTAGATTCTAACTCTTATTCTCCGATATAATTGTTCATCAATTGTTTTACTAAAAGAGAGTTATTTACATATTTTTCTTTGATATGATTTTAGACTTACTTAGAGTGGCTGGAATTTCGCCAATAACATTTTTGTCAGCTGAACACTTGCTGAAAGTGAGAGTCCGATGGTATATTAGCAAAAATATGGTGGATTTTTGCAAGTTGTCATAAAACAATATTCATATATGAGACATTTGAGGGCTGGAGTTATTATTGTTAGAATATATAAATACACGACGGTTGCACCATAGACAAGTGGATGTTTGCCTTTATCGTGAGATGCACTGTCAGTGTGAGTGTGTTGTATGATGTGATTTGTTGGCATAATGAGTTAGTTTAGCGATGGTTCGATGTGGGTGTGTTTATTGTTTGGTGGATATGGATGGTTGGTTGAAGATGTGAACAGAAGCATCAGACGGCACCAGAGTTTTCGTTTGTTTGTGACCAAGGGGGGAAAAAATTTTTTTTCCAAACAGAATCTGCTGGGAGAAAACGAAAATATTTTTCCAAAGAGAAAATCCGCTGGAGAAAAACGATAATTTTTTCCAGGGAGACTTTCTCCCAAAATGTTAGGAGGGGGAAATTCCCTCCCTTCCCCCTCTAATCGTATGGCCTGGCAATATGTATATATCGTTGGTTTTAGGTCAATTAGTTTTCGAGTCAGTCAATAAATCACTTATAAACCATCGATGCCTTAATAGAAAAACTATAGAAAATTGTGATTACTTAAATATTTGATGATTCTAGTCTAGGTTCGATTTACAACTGGTTATGTGACGATTAATATGACATTATATCATTAATAAATAAATCATCAATAAAGCGTAATAAACGATATTTATTCTGTATTTGTTTCTCGTTTTTGATACGACAACATAAATAAGAATATTGAGTTAAAACTTTTGTTTTTTATTTAAAAAAAAAAAAAAAAAACTATTTGAGATAACAATCAACAAATAATAAAAGATTGTTTCTATCTATTATTTAATCATCTAAAAATTGAAATATTCATTATTCATTTGTCTCATCTTAGTTTTATTAATCAAAGTTTATTTCAACAATATGAAAAATCTTTTAATTAACATAAGCAATGAAATTCTAACTTATATTCTTTTTATTATTAGAGATCTCTATGATTTTTCAAAGACTTTATTCACTAAAAGTCAAAAGAAATTTCCGAAAAAAAAACTCATAGACTGACCAGTCATTCTATTCCGCAATGTTGAACATTGACGAATCTGTTCCATCCAATTTCCGGAATTACTTAATTATTTCAGAGATTAATCTTCAACCACAATAGGATACGTAAGGGAGAGGACGAGAAGTAATTTCGTTTCAATCGAATTCCGGTAATTCAGAAAATTGCCGAAACTCGATCAATGTTGACTAGGTCTGTGCTGTAGCATGCTGATCGAGTTCTTTGGATCGAAGGGTATTGATTGAGGGTGCGGAACTGATTCCGTAATGTTCAATATCGCGGAGTAGGATGTATTCTCAGATATCTCTTCAGAAATCTGTGGAGATTATTGTGGAACTTCAAAAATTCTCTGAGGATCTAATGTTGTCGATGAGAATCGATTGAAATCTAGTTTACAATAGAGCCCTGCAGGATGCAGGTAACCTGCCCTGCCCTGCCCTGCCCTGACAGGGCAGGACAGGGCAGGCTGCGAAAATAGCAGGGCAGGGTAGGGCCAGGTTATGAAATTTTTACAGGGCAGGTTACAGGTTGTCCATATCGTAACCTGTTAACCTGAGATTAATTTTGAACAACCGACATTTCCGGTATCTTTTAAAAAAATTAGGTATGAAGAAAGATGNGTGGGAGCCAAAATTAAATTGGTAAAGAATTAAATGCTGATTTTCCATAGATAGGCTGTTTTTATTAATTTTGACACTCCATTAGTATTTTGCGATTTTCTCTATGAAAACTTTGTCAAATCGAAAAAATAAGAAAATATTCGTAATCAGCATTAAAAATTGAATCTAGAAATGTATGTCTAAAGAAAAAATGAAGAGTGCTCAAATTTCGAATTAGTTGCACCTTACCTATTTGCTGATTTCTCTTCTGTCACATCATCAATGGAAAGTAAATCCGCGGGCAGCATACTTGAAACTGGTAGGATTGTTTCGATTGAATCGAACCCGATTCTAAGTATAGCGAACACAGTACGTGTAGACTATATTCTCTTATTTAGTTTGATGAGCTCTATCGGATTTTATATAAATTATCAAGAAAAAAAAATTCGCTCAAAATTTTACAATCTGTTGACTTACATAAGCAAAAAATGTTGGTTTAAAATTAGCAAAATCACATAATAAAACCCAATTATAACTTGTTAATAAAATATTTTCTATTTTTAAATCTCCATGAGCTATATTAACATGATGTATATGTTTAAGAGCAATTAATAATTGATAAGCAATCCATTTTTTTTCAATACGTGTTAAATAAGGACGTGTTTGTAAACGATAAAATAAATTATCTTTTATATATGGACGTGTTAAAATAATGGAACGGTCATTTTTCTAGTTTGTTCAAAAAATAAAAAAATGAAAGAATAAAATACGAGAAAAGAAAAAAAAATGCCTACAGCAACAATTTGAAATGGTAGACAATTTTTTAATGGTGAAGGTGATGATTCTTTTTCATGAAGAATTGAATAGATTTCTTTAAAGCAAAAATAAAATATTATATTAGAAGAAAAATGATTATCTTTTTGAAAAACCTTGTATTTGTGCTTTGTATTGATCGTATGGAAGTGATTGATCAACAATTTGAAAAATTTTAAGCACACAATAACCATTTCTTAACATCGATAAATATGAAAAAAAGAAGACAATAGTGAAAATTCATGTTTTACCTTGTTTTTGCTTTGGCTACTTTTAAAAAACGAGTAACACCCAAACTAAAAGAAAATTATCAAAAGAATATTAAGATATTCTTGAGCATAGAAAATATCCGCGCATTGTACGCACGCTTTCCTTAACATGATGTTTTGAGCTTTTCTCAATATATTCGTTAGCATCGTATTTGAATATATCGAGTATGCTTATATCGATGTTCGTGCTTCGTGTGTTCTCCTGACAGTTTTGTTCTGCTCTCTCTATCATGCCAAGTATTGTACGAATAAATCGAACTAATTTACACAAGCAAAGAATTTATAATGTGAAAGATCAAGATTTTTCTTTTACGATGATATCCCATTCACTTCGTTCTTTTTTCTATCGAGATGTTTTTGACAACTAGATTGTCTTCATTAGATATAAAAAATGCTCATGACATACATGCACTTTACGTTAGGTGATGGAAAAAAGTTTAACAACAACGTATTTTTTATTTCTATAATGTTAAGCACCTAGCTCAAATTCAGATAGTGATTTTAATATCGAATAGAGTTTTCTATTGAATGCATTTTATACTAAATGAACTACGATAGCAAGGCTTCTGAAATGCTTGACATGGTAGTTTTTAGATACCGAAAGACTTTGTTGGAGCTATTTTTGAACAAAACCATTTTAAAGAGCACAAAATGAGGAGTTGTAGCATTTTCTATAACATCTCCTCAAACAAGTTTAAAGTATCACAAAAACAGCGGTTTTTTTGACAGATTTCATTTTTTCTACGGTTTTTATGATGATTTTAACGTCTTAAGAGGAGATCGTAGAAATATGGCGACCACACATTTTTCTCAGAAGCTTGTACTCTTTTAAATGGCATGGCTCGAAAATAGCTTCAAGAATCTAAAAATTACCGTATTCGATTTTTTTTAGAAACCTTGCCATCATAATTCATCTCGTATAAAATGTACCAGATAGGAAACTCTTTGAACTATCAAAACTACTATCTTGGCTTTATCTAATCGCTTAACATCAGAGGAAAAGATCAGAATTATATTGTTATTAAACATTTTTCATCATCTTATATGCCAGTATTAGAGATGTACAGAACCAAGTTTTGTTTTTGGTCCCAGTTCGGAAAAGAGTATTGCATAATTTATTCGTATAATATTTAAAAAAATGCTTCAATACTCGATTTTTTGATTCACTTAAAGTTATAGAATTTTTATCTATAACCATTAGTTTCTGTTGAAACAGCCTTTTCATATTTCTAGTCAGTATTAAGTTTTATATTTCATCCTAAAATCTTCAGTCATAATTCAATTTTAGTCGTGAGATTATTACCAGATTCGGGGATCAAATTAACCATTAATAGGTTTATTTTTCAATAAAATTTCTATATAAAAACTATTCATAATCTTTTCAATAAAATTAATTACTTATAAAAATGTTACCATAAGGTTTCTTTTTTGCTTACCAGTAAACGATTCAAATTAAGCTAACCTAATGTTAAACGTTTACGTGCATATTTTTCATTAACATCCGAAAAAGATCATGTTATTGACTTATAAAATCTTAAAATCAATTTATTATCAGTCAGTATGATCTATTTTATAAAATTAATCTCATCAAATTATCATAAATAAATTATTTAATTTCAAAAAGAAAAAAATCTCGAGTAGTCTCCTCTTCACTTCACAATGAAATCATAACAATTACTTTTTAAGATAATCATATCCACTTAAGTCATTGAAGTAGGTTTCAACGTTAAGAATCTGATTTGGTATATGTGCAATTTGATTTCCCATCAACAAACAATCATGATCTAAAATAAAGACATGACAAAAGAAAAACAATGAAAAAAATATTTCAAGTCATGTAAAAAAAAACTAAAAAAAAAAAAAAAAAATTATACTAAATTATTCATTTATTATATCCTATCACCGTTGATCGTTTATATCCTAAAACATAACAAGAACCCATAAAATATCCTCATAAAACCTTTTTTTTCTTTCTTACTTTTGGTACAACAAAAACCCAATCTTTCATCCTTGGTTCAACAATAATTTGACAAGCAAGTCGTGATGTTGGTGTTAAACCAAATGCTAAATCTAACATATCATTTTCTTCTTCAACTGGTTCTGGTAATGTTTTATAATTTTCACTATCAAGTATAACATGACATGTTGAACAAGCAAGTGTACCTTCACATGCTCCAAATCCATCAACATCTAATTTATTATCCAAAACAACATCAAGCATATTTGAACCTATTTTAGCTTTAGCATTAATTAATTTTTCATCACGATCTATGATTTTAACATTAATATAATTATTTGAATTTGATGAATATCTTTTTAAAAATAAATTTTGATTAAATATTGAACGTATTATTAATCGATACATAATTCTTGTTGTTCTATTGTTGTTTTAATTCATCTAAAAATTAAAACAAAACAAAACAAAACAAAAATTCTTTAGGTTATTTTCTTTTTATTCTTTCGTTTATCAAAATAAATTATTTTCATTTTGATCGAAATTTGTTATCTCAATAGATTTTGTTTTTATAAATAAATGTTCATATTGTTTTTTTAATTCTTTTGCTTGTTCATTTATTTCATTTGAACGATTATCATGTATCATTTCATCAATATTAAATTGAAGAATATTTTTTATATGTTCATTTTCATTAAAACATATTGAATATTGTGAATTTTCGAAGACTATTTTTAAAAATTTAAGTATTTCACGTTTTAATCCACTAGATTTTGTACGTGGACCTAAATTAATGATTGGTTCAAGTAAATATATTATATCAGATGAAATTATTGTTGAACTTTTTTGTAAAATTTCATTTAGTGATTGTATCACAATTAATTGCATTTGCCAATTTGAACGAATAATGATTTCAATAAGTAATTGAAATGTTATTTTTTTATATGTTGATTCTATTTGAGAAGTTTTTGGCCAAAATCGTGGCAAACATTCAATTAATGTTCGATTATATTTATCAGATAAGATTGGATCTTCATCAATATTATTTTTATCTTCTTCTTCGTTTGGATCCTCAAAAAAGAAATGATACAATATGTAATATTAAATTCTCAACACCATCAATTTTGATTTTAGACCAAGAATATTCAAATCGATATCATGAGCTTTTGTGAAACACGATCTAGACGGATTATTGAAGTATAGAGGTAGAAATTTGGATACATTCCTCTTCCGATCCCCACACGGGTAACTATGGGAGCAAAGGTCACTGCGGGATTAGTATGATAGTTGTCATTTACTTTTATTTGGCATTCTGTATTAACAGTAAGTAGGAATTCATAAACTGAAACATATTAGTTAATCTCTTCTTTTATGATACCAGCAGTTCCGTCGTGTTTCATATGTTCATCCGGTAGGAGTTGTGTTAGCAGCTTCTCATGAGATATTCGCCAAATAAGGATAAAAAAAATAACTAATTTAATGACGCGATATTTTCTGTCAGTCTCCATTCTATATATGTTATGTTTCTTTTAGTGCATGGGAAGTTTCAGAAAGGAACAGAGTCTTTTTTTCTAAATTGTTACCCTTAGTCTCCCAGAGTGTAAAAAAATTCAGTTCGTCTCTGCACTTTGGTGTATGCTCTTTCAAACCAAAGGAAAATAACACTATTTTGATCCTTGTTTAGAGTCTGTCGAATTGGTCGTGGTTTTGAGTGTAAAAATTTTAGACTCGACAAGCTTTTCTCTTATTGGATGAATATCTCATCTCATGATATCGAGCTGAAAGTTTCATACGACATGAATATTCCTACTTCGAAAACAATTTTCGAGTGGGAGAGACTTCTAATTAAAAAGAAAATACCTACCGGTTGTTTAAATGTCTTTTCAAACCATGTCCAATATAGTTCATAAGCTTGAAAATTATATTCATCAGCAAGTAATGATAATACACGTATAGCAACTGATCGATATTGAAGTGATTCTTTTTTACATTCTTTAAGAATACTTTCATAAGTACGTTGAACAAGATCGGGAGAAGTTTTTAATGTAGCTCTGCAAATAAAAATAAAAACTTTGACACATCTTATAACTTAACTAGGCAATTGCGCCACATTTGTGAAAAATAAAAGGGAAAAATTCGATCAGAATGTATCATGATGACAATGAAAATTTCACAATTATGTATCATAATGATGCAATTAATCTAGCTATGTAATCCTGCTACTGATAATAAATGACTAACAATATCAAATAATTTACTCAACTAAGTTTTCATAACATCCGAAATATTCAGAAGTGAGTAGAGCTTGTCAGGTTTATCTCGAACCTAGTCTAGTCCGGCTCTGAAAATTGTCCATTAACCAGATCCTGGTCGATAAATTTTAGATCCGACGAACTCTAGTTGCTTGAGGAATGTGTAGGGTGCGCTAGTCATCGAACACAAAAAAAGCGGAAAAAGGTATCACGTGTCTTCGGGATGATTATTTAATTCCGATTGGAAGATTTCATCGAAAATGTCTAAGTATGGTTCGACGAGGTCCGAGTCTAAAAAATTTTCAACATAACGGACTCTAGTAGTTATTGCAACTTTACAATATTAGAAAGGAAATCTTCTCTTATACGAATTTTAATTTTTAGAGAAATTTTCTGATTATTTACAAATATTACACTAGTATGATGATGAATACTTACTTGCAATGTGTACAAGTTGTTTCGATAGCTCGAAGAAAATATTCCTATCATAGAAATATGATAATACATTTATTAAAAAAGAAAAAAATATTCATTCGTACTTTTCCTTCATAAACTCTTCCATAAAGTCCTTTTAAAAGTAATTCAACTAATATAAATAAATATTCATTATTTAAATTTGTTTTTAATGTTTCTCCAATCATTTGTATAGCTCGTGCACCTTTTATTTTCATTGAATATGAATTATGTTCAATAGCTGAACGTATATTATCAATAATTCCTTTAATATATGTTTGTATTCCTGTTATTGAACTTCCTGTATGTTCAATCCATAAATTTTTCCAAATAAATTCTTCTTGTTGTTCATTATCATCTTTCGTATTTGAAATATTTTCTTGCATAGCTAAAAAAATTAATGGTAATATTTGTTGACCAAATTCTAAAAGTATATCATGATTTGATTGTGATATTGAATTAAGTGTTAATGCACAAACATATTGATAATCATTATCAGTTTGATAATACCATGTTGAAATTTTTTGTAAAAGATTTTCAATTGATGAACGTTTAGCTATACGAACAATTGTACCTAATACATTTGTATAAGTTTTTCTTAATGTACGATTTGAATTAATACTCATTGTATTAACTAATATAGCCATCCATTTACCAACATATTTTGATGAAATTTTTGGATATAAATTACTTAATGTTATAAAATATTGTCCAATAAGACATTTTGTTGTTAAACCAATGGAATGTTTTATTGTTTCAATTAATTTTCCTGATAGATCATCGAAAATATTTTCATCAACATATTGATTTGTACATGTATTTATTGCATCCATTATTGGTGATGAACGTGCACAATGTAAACGTGCTATATCAATTTGTTCTTTCATTTCAGATGCAGATAATTTCATTGAAGCATAATTAAATAAATCAGGTTCAATTGATGATAAGGCTTCAAATAGAGCTATTATTATTACAGTACAATACGGTTTTAATGTATCACGATCACCATAACGAATTATTTCCACTAAACAATAAAAAGAAAAACACAATTGACTAATTAAAGAAAGAAAATGATAAGAATAACTTTTTTTCAGGCAAGTCTAGTAGATGTAAAATAGCGATCTGAGTAGGTTCAACATTTCGAATCCACGAACATGATCTCAAAGGAGTGTTAAAGCATATACGGTAGAAATGTAGATCCTCATCACTTCACGTGGACTTGGACAGACATTCGCTCACAGATAGTATATCAATAACGTTTCATCATAACTTCTTATTGTGTTTCTGAAGGATTAAGTAAAAGGATAGATGAAGCAGTGTATCCCAAAATCGATAGAACAAAACAATTTTCTTGTGATTAGCAATAGCAATTACATCGTTTTCACATTTTAATCTCATAGAAGATTGTACTAACAGCTGTTTTGTTGTTCGGATTTGATTTATTTGATAAAAATGTGAAATTTTTCTAAACGTACGATATACGCGTCAAAATACTATTAAGATGATATCATTAATTCTAAAATGATTTTTCAATATTTATTCTTCTGACATGTAGTATCAGGAAATTTTTTGAAACTCAGACAGATTATTGAATCGACGTTATTCGAATTTCGCCAATATGACTTTTGCCTGTAATTGACGAACATTTGGCGATGAAAAAAGCAATGATTCGTACACTACTATTCATTATTCTAATTCATTAGCGTTTTGTTTGATTATTAAAAATAACTTACTAATTGTATTCAATGAAAATTTTGAAATATCTTCATTTTTATTATAAAGTCCATCATTTAAAATTACAGGTAAAACTTGTTCAAGTACATATCTTCCACGTGCTTTATGTTCTTCGTCACTCATACTAAATCAATATCATAAATTAAAATTCTTAAAAACAAAAAAAAAAACAATCTTACGCATTTGATATTGTTGTAGCTGGATCACACGCAAGTAATACACAATTTTGTTTAAATGAATTAATTGTTGTTAATGCTGCTTTACGTACAGATTCTTTTGTATCATCACAAATAGCTAATAAACGACGAAATAATTCTTGAAATAATTTAATATATTGTTGATTATCAATTAATTTTCTATTTAACATTCGAAATATATCCAATAAAGCTAATTGTATACTTTCACGTATACGCCAACGTGATGATAATATATCATTATATAAATCATTGAATATAATTGAAAAATATTTTTCAACAATAACTATTTGTTTTGTTGAAGAAAATAATTTATTCCATATACGTTTTATACATTCTTGTATGCGCATTTGTGGATCATATAGAAGACGATAAAGTCTTGATATTAATTGTTCAATATAAATAAATATAAAATCAATAGATTTTTTTTCATAATCATTTTTATGAAATATTTGTCCATAACGTGTTGTTGACCATATGGAATTTTCATGTGCTAAATAAAGTAATGAATAAAATAATTGAGATTTAAGATTTTTTTCTATTGATAATAAATTAACTAATGAACATAATTCTTTATAAAATATTATTTGTGAATTATCTATATTTATTTGTTGTATATTATGTTCATAAGCCATTGTTGTTAATTGATTTGAATATGTACGTGTATTATCAGTAAAATATTCAAATAATTTATTATTAAATTTTAATTCTAATTCATTATTTTCAATTATTTCATATATATAAATAAGACATTTACATGATAATTCTTGATTAAATTCATCTTGATCAAGTAAACCATAAATAAGATTTGTTTGTAATGAAAATAATTTTAATTCAAATAATGAACGATACGTTGATATTAAATATGGTCGACGACAATGTATAAGAAATGTTAATAACCATAGAAATGCAGCTTGTCTACTATGAGAATTATTTATATCAGATGAATAATGTAGAATACGATCAATAAGATAATTTATTAAATTAGATCGAAATTCATATTCATCTCTTGATATTTGTTTATCAGATGAAGATTTTTGATTAAAAATATCATAAGGATCATTAACCAATGGTGTATCAACACCAAGAATACAACATATAAGAGCATCACCTAGAAGTTAAAACATAAGATAAGATATGACTCAATGAATATTAAACAACATCTTCATATATATATATATATGGGTCATTTAAGGCAGAATGGGCCATAATCACCTTCCATTTGACTTTAATTGTTTACAATGACTATTGTTTTGAGTAAGTTCTTTTAATATGAATATACAGTGGCTCCAAAAATTATTCATACAGGTGTAATTTCGATTTTTTTCCCTAATGGTAACTCCTATGAAGAATCCAAATAGTGATTTGGATAGAGAAAATTGTTTCCAACAAAGGT